AAAACAGTCATTATTTTTGTCTTTTTGGTGATGTTAGTAGTGCAGAAATCTGACAAATCTCTCCTGTAAGTACGATGAATGTCAGCCACATTAGTTCATTCTTTGGCAAGACATGGCAAACTATTTAATAAACAACACATTTATTTAATTATTTATTTTAATAGTATAAATAATTGTTGCTTATTGTAGTTCATAAACCACTGTAAGCAAAAATTATAAATTATGTTCTGTATATAAATTTGACTATAATCTATTTGAAAGCTTGTACCTTGTGCACGCTGCATACTGGGGGTTGAGAGGCTCTTAAAATGGTGGGAACGACTTTTTTGTCTAGATGAGCTCCCTCGAGTCATCCATTCAGCACTCCGAAGCACATTCTCAGGGGAGACGTGGGACTGCTCAAAAAAATTCCTCACAGCACTGGCAGAGTAGTCCCAGTGAACCTCCGCAAACTGAAGCATCAGAACACTGCTTCTGTTGTTTACAACCACACTGAAAGCATGACAGAAAACAACAATCAAACCTTATTACAACATCTTTTTCCAATTACATAACATGAGAAAGAACAGTATTGCAAAATTGTATGATATGTCTGGCTGTAGGGTAAACTCACGTGTTGTGGTACGTGTGCAGAGAAAGGACAGGGCATTGCTTCATGTTTGTCTTAATAACTCTCAGGCAGTCTCCAGTTAAGAAGTTGAAGATCCGGATCTTTCCGTCCATGCAGCCAGTAATGATCCGCAGGAACAGGAAAGACATGGTCAACACCTCTCTAAAGATTATAATAGAGAATAAGCAAGAGAGCAAACCATTTATGAAAGTGCACAGTTATGGTATTAAAGGTTATTAATGAGGATGACCAGCTGTAAGGTCACTGATGACAGGCAAAACTGTTTAGTTACTTCGGATGCTGGAAGATCCTCAGGCACTTCTTGAAGCTAGAGTTGGTACTCCATGCCTTGACCACCCCATCTGAACCCCCAGAGAGGATATGCCACTGATTGATACACAGACACAGCACTGCCCCCTGGTGGCCACTGATTTGCTGTAATGAGGAAAGAATTTACAAGCGAGGGAGAACATCTAGCATTCAACTACTCAGTAGCAGATTCACAGAGAACATGTTGCTGAGGTCAGGAACGCCAATATTTATTTATTTTTTCTAAATCAAAGCTTTTCTAAGGTTAAAAACACATGCTTGTGCTCTGGAAAAGATCATGAAGCATCTCACCCTTATAAGTGATGCTGTCTCCATGCTCCATATTCTGATCTGACCTCCAGCACAGCTGCTGATCACCAGTGTTTCATTAATCTTCACACACATGATTGGTTTAAGGTGTTTAAACTTCAGATTCTCAACGCATTTCCCCGTCAGTAGGTTCCACACTGTGATGAATATACACAAATAGATATACATATATTCTTTCAAGCTGTTAGGCTTTGGTCTGTTGGTGTACAGTATGCCAGTGCAGACAATATGCTAATGACAGCACATTTGATCATCCCAAAATGGCAATTGTGCATCAACACACATTTACTAATAGGAGTACAGGGATGTAATGGCATGCATTAAAACCCTCTGGCCCTCTTCGGTCATTTTTGACGAAAAATTTTATATTTTGACATTTTAAATATCTTAGCTTCATCGGAACGAGATGACACTTGGTGACTTTTGTCACATTAGCAATATGAACACA